CTCTCTCTCTCTCTCTCTCTCTCTCTCTCTCTCTCTCTCTCTCTCTCCTTGTCCCTGTTTTCTTTTTTACGTTTCCTTACTCCTAATAAGAAACCCCTCCACTTGATCTGTGTCACGTATGGTGTCTTTCTCTCACGCGCTGCTCTGTTTTTGTTTTTCGAGAGAGGGCTTCTCTGTGTTCCAGCTGTCCTGAACTAGGCTCTTGTAGACCAGGCTGGCCTCGAATTTATGGAGGTCTGCCTGCCTTTGCCTCCCAAGTGCTGGCATTAAAGTCGTGTGCCACCTCCACTGGGCTGGAGCCGCTTTTTAAAAAGTACATTGGTTCCCTGACCAGGAAAGGCTTCCTCTTGCCCGCCAACAGTGTGAGGCACTCCAGGACCCTGAAATCCGGTCCACATAGGACGACAGTCTCGCTTCTCTGGATCGCTGGGTCCCTCCATTCAAAACTGGCATGGTTAGTGAGCTCCTCCCTCTTCCCCACCTCTTGCTATTTTCCACAAGTGAAGACTCATCTCTTGAGCATGGTTTCTTGCCTTTTGGCCTCTTTAAGTCCTGGTACTCAGGCTCAGAGCCTTCATTCCTCACCCTTTGCATGACGACTCACTGGGTGGCCTGTGCCGCTCTTGGACCCTTGAGTTCTTCCGGCTTTGCCCTTAGCACCCCCACTCCCCTTGAGTGATGACTCTCCTGAGTGACTTGTGCCTTTCTTGCTCCATCCTCGCTTGATAAAAGCCATTGGATCTGTCTCACGCATGGGAAATAAGCCTACCAAAAATCTATTTCCGGGCACTCTGTATCCTGATATTTTACAGGACCTTCGCAACATTCTGCCAGCGATCCTGATAGATGGATGCTTTCACCGGTTCGCTTTCCCCTCCCCCAATTAACCTCTTACACTAACTCTGTTGCATGCAGCATGGTTGCTCAGTGGCAGAGCTCACCGAAAAGAAAGGTACTCACTTAACGCTGGGACCCTACCCACCTGCCCCACCCTCAACAGAGCCGCTCTCTTGCACCTCCAACAAATCTGCTTTCTCCTTTACTAGCGACTTCGCTTTCCATTCAGTATTGGCCTCTGACCGTTCCCCTGGATGTGAGGCTTCATTTCTCAACCACAATCCTCTTCTCGCCTGTATGCCTGCCTGTACACCACGTGTGTGCCACGTGCACAGGGAAGCCAGAACAATGTCAGATTTCCTGGCACTAGAGTCACAGACAGTTGTGAACCACATGTGGGTGCTGGGAACTGAACCTGGGTCCTCTGGAAGAGCAGTCAGTGTTCTTAACTGTTGAGTGCTCTTTTCAAACCTGTTTTTTAAAATGATTATTGGAATCATAGCATTAAGTCCTGGTGAATTACTTTGCAAATTTCCCAGGTTACAATGGTACAGAAGGCAACCCCACCCAGAAGTATTCCCTAAACAAGAGCAGCAGCAATATTACACGGTTGACATTTATTTAATTGTACAGCAAACAGGAGAAAGTTGGTTCCTTTTTATTTTTTTTCATTAGAGAGTTACAATTCTTTGTGTGAGATTCCCATTTGTTGCTCATTTCATTTTTTTTTACCACCTAATGTCAATTTTAAAATTCACTTAACATACATTGGATAGCAGATTAAATACACTTAAGTTTATTTTCAACTCCTCCCAAACTTTGCTTATTTCACAAACATGAGTCTGTAGTCAACATAAACATAACTTGGAGAAAAGTTTGACACTCTTGTGGGTTTTAGACCCACTACGCGGACGCTTCTTCAGATTCACAGGGCTCCACTTCGGCTTCAACATTCACCAGTGTTCCAAGTTCCTTCCTAAGGGGAACAAAACAGCAAATGTTCAAGATTTTGTTATAGGTAAAATGGAATACATTAAACTGATGGTGACCCTCCTGCTTCTGCTTCTCAAGTGTTAGGATCCCAAGAGTTGGGGACACTAACCTTGGCAAAGACGATCGCTCCCATCCAGTGGGCCCTACAGCTTTTGACTGTGGAGGGGAGGGCAGGAAGCTGGGAGAAGTCCAAGACACCCCGGGAGGAAACTTCCCACCCACTTGAGTAAGATATTTACCGCCCGAACACGTTGGGGAACTCAGTGCGCTGAAAGATGCGTTCCAGCTCTCTAAGCTGCAGTCCGTTAAAGGCGCTGCAGATCGCTTGAAGCTCACTGTCATCCTGGAGTTGCTGCATCTCAGCTGCGGCCTCAAGGATTGGCTGGTTTTGGTCCCCGTAGCCTTTCTTTTCCTCGTCGTTCTTATTGTTGGGTGCTCCCACACCGACACCTATAAAACAAAAACAGTTGCCTTCTCCTGCAGCTACTACCAAATCGGGCTTGAGCCAGATTTTATCACCACCATTGCCACCCCCCCCCCAGGAGGCTTGGCTTTTGAAAAGGAGGATAAAGAGAGAGAGATCGAGATGCTAAGACCCAGAGATAGACAACAGAGAGAAAACCATAAAGGCGTTCAGCTCTACATCCCACATCTAAAGGCCACCACCAAAGAGTAGCATCGGTGGCATCCCAGTACCACCCTATCGACCTGTGTCCCCCCCCCCAGCTCATTTCTTAGGGTGTATAACCGCCGAATTCCCCCAGAGGCTTCTTTGGAAGGAGGAGTTCACCAATTTCCCAATTGTAGCCCGAGCACCGACCTTTGACTTTTTCCAAAGAAACATCACCTTCTAGGTTCTGGAAGTTGGAGTCCTTGTGCTCGAAATTGCGCTCCATTACCAAGATGGCTTAGAGCTCTCTTCGGGATTCTGCTCTGCGAGGCAGCAACTGGACGCCTGCTCACTGTGCCACGGCCAACTGTTCTGCTCCAAGCTTTGTGAGGCAAACATAAGGGAATTCTACCTACCAACTGTGACGTTCACAGCGCTGGGGATTGGACGGCTATGATATACAGGATGATGGGGATTGGACAGGTTGCAGATACACACTACACTGGTGATTGGACAGGCTAGGGGCACCTATTCCTTGGGATTGGTTGAACTGAGATGCACATGCGCACAATGCTAGGGATTGGAGGGTTGAAATGTACATGAGGCATGAGGCTTGGGATTGGTCAGAGCGCAAAGTGCGCGAGATTGTGGGGTTTGGGTGGCACGCTTCCGGATGTGGCTGTTGTGAGGGTAAACATGTGACTTCTGGGGGGGAGGGGCAGAAGAACGAGAGTGAAATCTCGCGTGAACTGAGTCTGTGAAGATAAAGTCCCCCCTCCCTCCTCGCACGCATGCGCATTTGCGCCTTCGTGCCTCAGGCACCGATGTGACAGAGACTGGACCTAGTCTCTCAAAGCAAGAAAGGCTGCACTTCTTGCTCCACAGTTCTGGCCCAGTCGTTCCCAAAGTCCCTACATTGTAAATAAGATGAAACAATCAGGCAGTAGTTTACACACTAAGAGTTTGCCCAACCACACATGAAAAGCCGAGTGCACTATGTGTGGCAAGGTGTTAAATTTGCTGGAGTTTGGGACTCTGGATGCTCACATGAAAGCTCCCTGCTTTGTTTGGAGCTATTTTCATTTTCTATTATGTTTGTTTATGTGTGTATTTGTACACTGGTGGATAGAGGCCAGAGGATAACTATCACAAATTCGGTCTCTCCTTCCATTATGTGGGTCTTAGGGACTATACTTAGTCTTCAGGCTTGGCGGCAAGCACCTTAACTGCGGAGCCATCTCCTCTGCCCAGACACTACTTTTGCAAAATGCCCCAGTGCTCTGTGCTGGTTGTGTTGAACACTTCCTGGTGTTGATTATCCGAGAGTGCTTACACGATAAGGGGTCCTCCTTTGCCTCTACATAGGACTGCAGAGCATAGAGCATGTAGGACTATGCCATTAAGTCTCTATGCCATTAAGTCTCTCCTGTGGCTGCAGATACTCCATGGAAACTGTGCTGGTGCTGTTGACTTGGACTTGTACATCCCTGAACTCGAGCCCTCAAACTTCCCCCACTCCTCTCCAACAGCCTCCTGTATTCCTCCTGCGATGTTTAGAGAGATCCAGCTCTATTTAGGAGCCTTCTGTTTTGGTGTTTTTTGGAAACAGGGTTTCTCTGCATATCCCTGGTGTTAATGGTCTGTGAGAAGTTGCATAAAAGACCACCAGCCACATATGCAATAAACAAGAACACTTTATTAATTCCAACATGTTGGGGTGGCCATGGTACTGACCAGAGAAGTCCACAGACTCCTTTTAAACTGGGTTAGGAGAATTCCAGGCAGGAGAGATTGATTAGTCTGGGGCTGATTGGTGGGTGGCTCTAGTGGTTAGAGAATTTTTAGTGGCAGGATTTTGTGTGTGTGTGTGTGTGTGTGTGTGTGTGTGTGTGTGTGTGTTTCTGAGATAGGGTTCCTCTGTAGTTTTGGAGCCTGTCCTGGAACTAGCTCTTGTAGACCAGGCTGGCCTCGAACTCACAGAGATCCACCTGTCCCTGCCTCCCAAGTGCTGGGATTAAAGGCATGTACTGCCACCACCACCTGGTTCCAGCAGCAGGGTTGGGAATGCCATTTTTAGTTATCAGGAGACTGATCATCTGCTGAGCCAGCAGAAGACCAAGGCGGTACCTGTTGGTTGGTTGTCTCTCAGTTGTATTTTTTCCTGAGAACTGTTTGCTCAGTTCTAGCCACCTCCAGTATACTGAAAGTTAGGCCCGATTCCTGGCAGGGGCTGTTAGAAAGCTGTCATGGCTCTGGTCTGGCTCTTAGACCCTCTCCCCTGGCTGTCCTCGAACTCATTCTGTAGACCAGGCTGGCCTTGAACACAGAGACTTACCTACCTCTGCCTCCTGAATGCTGGGATTAAAGGCATGTGCCACCACTTCCAGGCTCTTTGTGACACTACTACCCAACTTTCGCACCACCGCCTGTCTGGAAGCATTCTGGTTAGACATCAAATGCTATTAAATAATGTCAAGAATGCTACTGTTATTTTTGTGGTCGTGCACATTTATTATCCCGGCATTTGAGCAGCTAGGGAAGGAGGATTAGTAAGTACTGTTATGGGGTACATGAAGAGAGAATTTTCTGAGATGCCTGAATAAATCAAATGGAGTCTTCTTCTTTCTTTTCTTTTCTTTTTTTTTGAGACAGAGTTTCTCTGTGAAACAGTCCTGACTGTACTTGAATTCACTTTGTAGACCAGGCTGGCCTTGAACTAGCAGAGATCTGCCTGCCTCTGCCTCCCAAGTGCTGGGACTAACGGCCTGCAACATGACTACCTGACTCCAAATGGAGTCTTTATTACCACTTGCAGGGCTTTCCAGTTTGAGTTTCTCAAGGCAAGGACCACAGTTGTGTGATGTATACAGAAAGGCAGCTCTAGAAATCTGCAGCAAGAGTTATTTACAGTTATTTGCAGAAAGATAGCAGTTAAGTGGCCAGGATCAATGCCGAGAGCTGCTGTGGGATTATGCAGCAGGTGACATGTAGTGTTCAGCAGGTTGGCCCACCAGTCGAAAGACTCTCTGATGGGGAGTGCCACTTGGAAAATCCGTGGAGTTACTGAGTGTAAGTAACCGGTTGCTTCTGTCTGTAATTTCGCTTATGTGCCACAACACTCCTTCCCTAATAACAGCTGTATGTGTGCCCAATAGAGCGAATATTTTCACGAGATAAACACACAAGCAGTGGGAATACACCTAAGTGTATTTCCCAGGTGTTTGTTGCTGATTCAAGATCAGGCTTAAGGCAGCTTTGGTAGACAGAAACCTCACATGGCAACAGGCTTTCTGCACACACTCCCTACCACTCAGGGTCCAACTAATTGTTATTATTAAGCTTTGAATTGCCATGTCATTTTCTGTCTAAGAGCCCTCACCAACTTAGAGCTATGTGCATGGCCTAGCGTTACTCCCTGACCTGTGTGACTTACCTTGTGTTCTGAGAATGGGTCAGACCCTGAAAAGGAAACGTACAATTGTCCAACGTTTTGGCTGTGAGAGAAGGATGCTGTGTAAAGAGCTGGGGAAAGAGAGAGAGAGAGAGAGAGAGAGAGAGAGAGAGAGAGAGAGAACTGAGAGACGAAGAAACATGAGAGAAGTGTGAGAGAGGGAATGAGAGAGAAAGTAAAGAATGAGTGAATGATGTAGAAGTGTGTATGTGCGTGTGCGCATGTGTGAAATGGATGTAAAAGAAAGGCGTGTAGCCCTGTGGAGATAGATGTAACTGTGTATAGAGATGTATGGCTGTGTAGGAGAGAGATGTATATATGCAAAGAGATATATAGCTGTATGGAAAGAATGTAGCTGTGTGGAGATGCAGCAAAAGAGAATGTTACCATCAGAAAATGTGTGTTTGCTTCACTTGCTGAGAAGGGACTATATACCATAAGTGGGGCTGACGGCTTCTCACTTGCATCGTTCGGTTCAAAAGGAGTGAAGCCTAGGGCAGTGGCTCCCAACCCTCCTAATACTCCGACCCTTTAATACAGTTCCTTGTGTTGTAGTGATTCCTATCATAAAATTATTTCATTACCCATTTCATAACTGTAGTTTTGCTACTGTTATGAATCGTAATGTAAATAACTGATATGCAGGATATCTGATATACGGTCCCTGTGAATGGGTCACTGAACTCCCAAAGGGGTTATGACCCTCAGGTTGAAAACCCACTAGTCTAGGGGTTTGCCAGAAGAGAAGAATGGCAGGAACTGCCCAGGTCTGGGTTGAGTTGGGGGAGTCCAGGGAACAGGGGGCACAACTGAAATCACTACAGGTATTCAGGGGAGACACTGTAGGGGAAGAAGAGGAAAGGGTACCCTGGGACTGGGGCTCAGGATGGGGGTCACTTTTCATTCAGGGACATAAGGTGGAAGTAGTTCCTCCTCTGCATCAGTGGATAGAATTTTTGGTGCTTTTTCCCCGTGGAGCTTAGGTACCAGACCCTTGAAACCAGTTTTAACAGAACAGGTGCCTTACTTGGGGGTGGCCTGTGTTAGCAGGATAGGAAGTGAGGAAGGCAGAACACTGTTGGTTTAAGGGGCGGCTGGAATGATATTATTTGGAGGTTATGAGCTTTGTAAGTAGGGGCACCTTGCATCTGTTCCCTGTCTCTCTGCACCATGTAATACTGGAAGATTGCAGGCAGTCTCATGCTGATCCTAAGAAACACAAAGGTGAACACAATATATGTCAGTGTTTTTCAGGAACCCTTTAAAACGTTGTAAGAGTGGGAAAAAGATTCAAGTATTAGCCTGTTTCTGAGATACAAGAATTATACACTTTAGAAAGACCTCAAGGAGTGTTAGATTCTAATCTGGGGAGGAAGGACAATACGGCTTCTGGGCAGGAGGCTGGAAACAAGAGAAAGTCTGCCTGTGGACTGGATAGGATGGAGTCTATTGTCCCCTTGAAGCAGCAGGACCCCTGTCAGAGTAGCTACCAATGCCCTGTGTGCCATATAGGGGGAGGGCAGGGAAAAGAAGTAGGCACAGCCCAGATATGTTTGGGCTGGCTGCCTGCTTCTTCCGATCTTGTGAATCACCTCATAGGAAGTTTCTCCTATAGTCTAGGGTTGAAATGAAATTCTAAGCTTAGACAGAACCAGCTCTGTCTGGAAAACCACTGTCTCTCCCTAGGGACTTGTCCTGCCTCTTTTGCATATGGTCAGGGGTGGGGTGAGGACAGCATGGGAGGGGGACAAAAAGAAAGTGAGAATCAATACAAGTCCACTCTCACACTAGAGAAAGTCTTACAATATGCAGGGCCTACTGATGGTCACTCGACATTGCCACCTCATGGAAGGGAACCTGGTCATCCTGGTTAAAGGCCATTTCCTGATAACTTACACCAGTATCTTACTATTTTAGAAGACACAGGAACAAATATATTGAGAATTCATCTCTTTATTGAAAACACAAGTTCTGAGGGGAAGGAATGCGAGTATAAAAATTGGTTGTTGGTGACAGAAAAAAAAAAAGCATCCGCATTTGTCTCCTGGGCAAGGCTGAAACTCAGGGCTCCTCCACAATACTCAGGGAAAGCTGAAGTTTTCTTCTCAGTAGGAGGAGTATTGCTGGGTCTTTATTTATGTCTTTTGATATTTTCTGTATTTCTCTCTCTTCTTCTTAAACCAATTCTATCACGTGAGAAAAAGAAATTGAATTATCATATAAATAACCTAAAAACACACCATGTTCTTGATGTGCCAGAATACCTTTCTTCCTTACTGCTCTAATTTTGAGGGGGGAGCTGAAGGTGTGCAACATGGTACAGTATCCCCAGCACTGCAAAATTGTCCCTGGACAAGTGTCCAGATGTCGCATGTCTTTCTCCCTCTCTACAGTAATCCCCTCTGGAAGATGTTAGCAGCATTTTCAGCAGATGCACCAGTGTGCTTCAGACAATCATAATGCTGGGTGCCCTAATCTGTGTGGCTTCACCAGGCGCTTCAAACAGCAGGAGGAGGAAAGGGCATTTGGACTCTACGCTTCCCCCATTCCCATCAGCCTCTGTTTAACCAAGTTTACATCCGCATTATGAGTACAGGGTTCACTCTGTGAACTATCCTCACCCAAGTTACCCCTGTAAGGATAGAATCTGTGCTTAGTTTCAGTGTTTCAAATAGTGTAGAATAGTGGCGCCCCTAGGTACATTAATTTGAATGTTTTATGTCATAACCCCAGGAAGACTCCACAGAGACATTCACCTTAAAGGATACTAGTGTTAAAAAGAGTTGTACAAGATATGTACATGTTTATATATCTTATTGATCTATATACAATACAGCTATGTGTGCATATAACATGTATGCATTTTTATAACTCAAATGCATATATTTATAATTTACACAGAGGACAAGTGTGTATAATATGTATGGATTTAGGGAGTGAAAGTAGCTTAGTCTTCACTCCTTTTTTGTTCCTTTAGGAAGTTGTGTTGAAATGACTGAAATCTGAAATGAGCCATTTATGTATAGTAAGGCTATCTTATTCCCCTTTCTATCTTTTCTACAAAGATCACAAACTTCTAACGTCAAAATGACAGGGTTAGGGAGATGTTTCAGTAGGTAAGAAGAACACTTGCTGCTCTTGCAAGAGTCCTGTGCTTGGTTCCGAGCATTCAGATTGGGAGGCTCACAACTGCCTGTAACTAGGGCACCAGATAATCTAATGTCCTCTTCTGGCCTCCAGCACCCACAGATATGTTATACACACAGACACATCCACACATCTAAATAAAATAAAAATAAAATTAGTCATTAAGAAGGTAGTTTTGGGCTGGCCAGTTTTGGTGCACGCCTTTAATCCTAGCACTCCAGAGGCAAAGGCAGGTGGATCTCTGTGAGTTCAGGGTCAACCTGGTCTGCAGAGCATGTTCCAGGACAGCCAGGGATACATAGAGATACATCCGAAAAACCAAAATACATAAGATAGACAGATAGATGAATAAATAGGTTAATAAATAAATATAAAGGTAATTTTGATAGTTGGAGAAATGGCTTAGCAGTTAAAAGTGCTGGTTGATCTTCTAGAGGACGCGGGTTTGATTCCCAGCACCCATAGGGTGGCACACAACCAATTTCACCCCAGTTCTAGGCAACCTGACACCCTCTTCTGGCTCCTTTGGGCACCAGGCAATGCATGTGGTTCACAAGCATAAAAGGAGACAAAACAGCGATGAACAAACAATATGCCAACAATATTTTTAAAAAGTCATTTTTGGTAACAGTGTGAAGTCAACAACAAAACAACAATTTCATGGACAGAACAAAGCTGCCCTAGACCAGAAACAAGTTCTAGAATGGCCATTCTGCCAAGGTGCTTCCCTTTCCTCACCTGCACTTTGGTTTCACTCACACCGATGGATGCTGCCAGTTGTTTTCTGGGGGAAAAGGGCAGATGATCAGTATTTGACACTATGAAAAGAACAAAAGTATGCAGAGGACATTTCATATTAGTTTTAAACTGTTTCTCCGATCATCCCTCTTTTTGTGACATTGACCTTGGAAATTTTGGGTTTTAAAAAAAATTCTATCAGTGATTTTATTGTACCAACCCACCATTAACAGGCATGAAAAGCCAAGCATGTCCCAATAAACAACTTGAAAAACACTAATATAGACAGCGAAAAACTCATAATGGGGGGAACTCCTAATACTTGGTGTGGTAGTGAAGGAAACTTTTTTTTTAAGCAAAAGCTACTAAAACAAATTCACACAGGAAAAACTCATGTGAGACTCTTTGTCAGGACAGAAGGATAAACTCAAAAGAAGACAGATTAATGGAAAGCACCCAAGGATTTCTACTGTCCATTTCATAGAGGAGGGTGTCAAACCTACAAGGAAGTGATATGTTGCATTTATTTTGTTTATTTGGTTTGCCTGTGCCACAGTGCACCTGTGCAGGTCGGTCAGCAACAGCTAATAGAAGCTAGTTCTCTCCTATCGTGTGTGTACTGATGAATTCAGGTTCTCAGACTTGATGGCAAGCACCTTTGCCCACAGAGCTATCCCATCCATCAGAAAATGAGATATTAAAGGCATAACAGACACAAAGTGAATGCTACTTTTTTGTACAGTATTGGCTGCCCAGGCTTGAATTCTCCCAGTGAAGGAAGCTGGGGAATGAGGCTCCTTGTAAGATCCAGTTCAGCTTAAACAACAAAGCAAGCTCATGTCCCAGGAAATCCAGGAGAAAAAAAACAACACAGGCATGGTAGAATATGTCCAAGATTCTTGCATAAATGGACTCACAGAGACTGGGCTGGCTTAGAATTCATTACTTAACTGAGGACAATCTTGCACTTCTGATTTACCTGTCTCTATCTCCTGATTTCTGAGATCACAGATGAGGTTTTGTTTGTTTGTTTGTTTGTTTGTTTGTTTTTTGACACTGTACCACTCTGAATCACTCTGAAGCCCAGGCTACCTGGAACTCACCCCTGTAGTCTGATTGGCCCACCCAGTGCTACAGTTATAGGCAGAAGCCACCATGTTCAATATTGGATCTTATTTTTATGGAGAATATATATTTTGGAGGGGGTAGAAATTCTAGTGGGAGGTAAAAAGACAGTATTTGAGAGAAATGTATCAATAGCTATATTTATGCAACTTGAGAAATGCATGACGCACAGATGTATCAGAAATACACCTGGGCTCTCTGTAAGAGCAGCAAATGGTCTTAACCACTGACCAACTTTGTCAGGCCCAGAGGTATGGAATTTTTTTTTTTAAAAAAAAGACCTTATATCAACAGACACTGCCCAGTTTTATACAATTAAATAGATGAAAGTACCTTCATTCCCAGTTTGCCTAGTTCTCATCCCTCACCCCAGAACCCTAGTGCCAGAGGATGAGGATGGGGTCTGGCGGCCTGGATGGTGTAGGTGACTTTTGTTTTAAAAGGGCAAGAGAGAGGCTGAGGAGACAGCTCAACAGAAAAAGGTACTTTCCGGTTAACCTGGGGACCTGAATTCGACCCTGAGAGCCACATGGCAAAGAGAGGATTGATGACCCTAGTTGTCCTCGCACCTCAGTACATACGGCATGGCAAACACACAATAAAATAAATGAATAAAAATTAAAAAATGATAAATAATTTTCAACAGAGGGTAAGAGGGGCACTGGGGAAAAAGCAACAACAACCCTGGCCCACATGCTCCCAGCCAGGTATCTGCTCACCTTGCGTTTGCTTTGATGTAGTGAGTAGACTGGAAAACACTCTCCAGCTTAGACAGCTGCCAGCGGGCGAACCTGCTGTGTTTGGGCCTTGGCGCTGGCGCTGGCGCTGGCGCTGGCGCGAGTTGCGCCACAGCCTCATTGTCGCCCATGGCCCCGCGATCTGGCTCCTGAGGCTGCGGCTCATTCTCCTGGCCATGGCCACCGGCAGCGCCCTCTTGGTTCCCGTCATCCACGAGGCCTGCTGCACCAGCAGCTGAGGGGCCTTCTCCTGCTCCTTCTGCTGCTGCTGCTGCGGCTATGACCGCGACTCCGCGCCCAGCCTGGACCCATCCACTCGCTTCCTCATTTCTTCCCTCTCCAGCCTGCAAGACCCTCAGTGCCTCAGCCTCTGGAAGTGGGGAACAGAAAGGGCTCCTAGGTGACAGGGCCTCGGGTGGTGCGAAGACCCCGTGAAGTCGCTGCGGCTACAGGCGACGCCAGTGCACGGGGCCTGCCCAGCGGCCTCTGTGGGCGCTCCTCCCCTCACGGACATCACCAACCCACCGTTCCTAGCACGCACTGACCATCCCAGTTGTCGTCGTCGTCGTCGTCGTCAAGTCCCACAAAATGTTGGTAATCGAAGTTTTGACGCTCCATGTCCGGAATGCCGGCGTCGAAGTGGCTTGCGGCTTGCTGTCGGTTGTGCCTCTGACGAGGCAGAGCTGGAGCTTAAATCTGGTTCCAACCAGCAGGGCTCTCTTCCGCCTGCACCCTGGTCCTCCAGGTTAGTTTGTATCCAATCATGGGCCTGCCATCCTTGCTTCCGGTTGACTCTTGTTGCTAGGGGCTGAGCGGAACTGAGAGCAGTTTGGAGCGGCAATGAGCAGGCTGTGTTTGCGGGGAAGGGATGGCACCTGGGCAAGCAGGGTGTAGAAGGGGCCTTCCAAGTTGTAGCTCAACTGAGTCACCTGGCCTTGATGAATTATCTTCCTAGGGAATGGGTGGCAGTCTAATCCGGTAATCAATTTCCCAGGAGTAAGAAAAGATCCGCCAGGAGCTCTGGAGGTCTTGCAGAAATGTGTGGACATTTCTTGGTCTAGTGCTCCACACTGGATCCCTGGTACTTGGCAGCGAACGGATATTAAATAATGTGTTTATCTGGGAGGCTCTTCTTTGGACTTCCACAGAAAGTGAACTTAGAGCCTGCTTGCTTCCATGTTCTGCCTTTGCAGGAGCCTGGGCAGGGTTGCAGGTCCTGGGGCTGTCCAGCAGGCAGATCGGTGGACTCATCGTCACCAGGGCTACTGAGGAGGAGCTTAGTAGTACTGTCCAGCCTTCATGAGTGCTGGCAAAAGCTGTGAGAATTGTCATACCTGTGCTGAGGGTCCTCACCTTTCTCTTGGAGGCATTTCTGACGTCTTCTGTGAATGGTCAAAGTGTCAAGAGCAGGCCTTTATGCCTGGTTTCCACCCCAGAGTCAAGCAGCCCCTTCACTGGCATGTGGTCAGACTGGTTCCAAGGCAGCCAGCTTTTCCCAACGTGTTCTGGTCACTTTGAGACTAGAAAGGGTCCTAAAACACCGGTGTATTTCTGTCAGTTCCATGTCTGAGCTGGCCATATTCAGGAGCCCTGGTACTGAAGTAAGAATCCTTCTGCCAGGCAGTAGTGGCTCACGCCTTTAATCCCAACACTCAGGAGGCAGAGGCAGGCTTGGTCTGTGAGTGTGAGGCAGGCCTGATCTACAAGGCAAGTTCTAGGACAGCTGGGCTTTTACACAAAGAAACTCTGTCTTGAAAAAAAAAACTAAAAGAAAAACAAAATTAAATAGCCCCCAACCGTCCCCAAAGAATTCTTCTCTCAGAAAAAGACTTACCTCACAGTTTTGATAGCTGCTTATATACTAAAGCTGCACGTATATGTTTCCTGGCCTTTGCTTGTCTTTACTCTCAATCCTGAAACTGTTGTGGGCACAGTGCTGAGAACATGAGAAATTTTCTGTCCAGTCTGGCCGCAGTCAGAGAGACACCCATTTTTGGGCAGGGGTCGTAGCTTAGTTGACAGTGTCCTTGTGCCACATGGCCACGAGCCCCTGAACTACATGAGGCTGGTATGGTGTTTTTCAGTCCTGTAATTCCTGTAATCTGAGAACTTGGGGAGCAGAGGCATTCAGATCAGAGCTTTAGAGTAACCTTGGCTACAGAATGCATTTGAGATCAATTGTGGGTATTTGAGACTCCTTAGGGGAAAAAAAAGACATCTATTTATTTCCTTTCTGAAATTCTGATGTCTCTAATTTTTTTTTGTAAAGCGGTGAACAATAGGCTTGATTTAATTTTAATTGTTTTCTTTTTTAAGTTAATGGCTAGTTCAAATATAAAAAATGTACATTTCTACAGAAATGTAAGTAAGCTATACATGCATCAGTGGTATGTCCTACCCCTTTTTTTGTTGTTGTTTTGTTTTTTTATACAAGGTATATATAGTTCTGGCTGTCCTGGAACTCACTCTGTAGGTCAGACTAGCCTAGAACTCACAGAGATACACCTCCCTCTGCCTCCCAAGTGCTAGGATTAAAGATGTGTGCCACCACCGCCTGGATCTTTTGGTTATTTTTGAGATATTAACTTCATTTCATTTCTCTTCCATTTCATTTCTCTTTCCTCCATCCAAGGGGTCCCATATACTCCTCCTTGCTCTCCTTGCTCTGCTTTTCATCAATTGTTATTGTATGCTTATATGTATCTGTATATACATATATTCCCAAATATAATCTGCTGAGTTCATATAAGTCATTTGTATGTATGATTTTAGGGCTGACCATTTGGCACTGGACAACCAATTGGTGTGCTTTTCTTCTGGGAGAGGACCACTTCTTCTATTCCTAGTTTTACTCAGTTGCCTGGAGTTCTTTGTGTAGGGTTGAGACCTCCTGGGCTTTTCCCTAGGAAGTCTGACATGCTCGTTTGTGTCATCCGTGTGCAGCTCACCTTTGGATGGGTATATTGGTTCAACTTTATGGTTATGTACATTCTGGCTGAGTGCCTTTAAACTACTAGGCATTGGTCACTAGGATGAGAAGGGAGAGGTAAGGAAAGAAACTTCTTTAATCTACTACTTTAATCTACTACTTTCCCTGCTCTCTGCTCTTCCAGATGCCTCTGGCAGTACGCTCCCTCATATCTACAATAAACCCCACCTTTTCCTAAACTATACCTTGGAGCGGTCAGGTTTGTATAGTCAGTTCACATGTACACATGAGAGTACTGGTCAGCTACGTGTACATATGGACACTGACCAGACCTCATGGTTATTTTCTATTTTCCATTCTCCTTGCCCTCCAAGGCCCCTTCTACAATGGTGCTCAAGCACTTCTCAAGGTAAAAGAACATTACCTTGGTTTAGGGATCTATATTTCCATGGCTTCTATGAGGCTAAAGATAAATCTTACGACTAGGGTGTTAAGTTTAAATTTCTTCTTAATGGGAATCCACTACTGCTGATGTAAGAAGCTAGTCAAACCAAATTAATAAATCCAGGTTTATTCTGAGCAAAGCATTCCTGAGTGGTCCCAGGGGAAGTTGAAACCATGAGGGCGGCCCTCGGGAGTGGAGACACTGATGGTGGGCTTTCAGGCAGCTCCAGGGGAGGGGATGTAGCCTCCATCCAAACGATTCCAGAATCTTTGGGTATATGGATGCCAAGGGCTGGAATGGTGTTTCCACCCAAACACCCCAGACTCTTTGGGTATGGGGCACCAGTTCAAGTCTGGCTACTTCCTGCGGGCATGGGACAATGTGGGTGGGAGGGAGTTAGGAGTTGGTGGTCTCACACTCAGTGGTAGACGTGGGTGGAGAGGCATCCGGTTAGGCCATCCTGGAGACCTTAGGCATCTGTTTTTTTGAGGGAGACGAGAAGGCAGATTTTAGGAGAAAAAAAATAGATTGTTATGAATGAATGGGACTAGCCATGGGAAGGGTGGTTTAACGGCTGGAAAGAATGGGATGGAGAAGTGCCCTGGTTGTACAGGAGAGACACGGGTGAATGGGTGAGACATGAGAGCAGATATGCCCTTTAAAACCAGATTTTTCATTGCTGGGTAGGTGCCCATTTGAGCCTGGAGAGGTGGTACCAATGGTAAAGTCCCCAGAGCTGGTGCAGGTGCTAGCATTATCTGGAGAACTCTCTGCAGGTTGGCCTTGGCCCAGGCAGGGGTGAACCTGCAAAATATGCTCGGAAACGGGTGGGGTAACATAGGCTCTGGAGACTGATAGTTTTCACCAGACCAGATTTCTTGATACAGCAGCAGAACTTCTCCCAGGAACCTACAGGTATCTGTAACATGGAGGGGCCGGGCTGCTTGTTTGAAAGAGTCAGAGTTTTCCCTGGCAGGACGGCCCAGAAAGCCGGCATTTCAAAACAGTGCAGCTTTTTTCCTGCTACGGCTGAAAACCGAAATGCTTTACTCTAGTCTTTCCCAAGCATTCTCAGGCTTTCTGTGGATGCAGTTATCCACGTGGACGCCCACAGAATACAGACAATTCTCCCGCACCAGGTATCCATCTGTAGATAGCTGGAACAGATTGCTATGCATCCTGGAGTTATAGAAAAGGCTATGGCTTTAGCTTGAAAAGCACGAACATTTTAGAAGACAATTAGAAGAAATTTAAAACTCTGAACCTCTGAAGTTATATCTGAAACCTGATAATCCTGGCCTATGAAGCCTGTGAAAGAGGCACCCTTGTCTGTATTTTTAGTGGGAAACTTAAGGAAAGAAGTAGTGAGCTACCAGTTCCTTAAGTCATCAAATGCCACCAGACAGATCTGAGAGGGATAAACGAATGAGCAGAAGTGAGACAGCTATTTTCATCTACCCAGGCAATCCCAAGTCTTTCTGTGGTCTTTGGCAAACACCAGTCTTAGAAGCAGTACTTGCCTTTAGTTGCTAAGCCCAGGAAGCTGTTGACAGAGGTTTCTGTCCCACCACGTCCTTCAGTCATTCAGTCCCAAAGGATAACACAGAGGTCTACATCAATTATAAACTGATTGGCCCAGTATCTCAGGCTCTTCTTATTAACTAATTCTTATAACTTATATTAGCCCATAATTCTTGTCTATGTTGGTCACGTGGCTTAGTTATCTTTTTCGGTGAAGCAAGGCCATCACGTCTTGCTTCCTCTGTGACTGGGTCACGACTAGAGCCTGAAACTTCCCTTTTCCCAGAATTCTCGTTGCCCTGCCTAGACTACCTGCCCGGCTACTGGCCAATCAGCGTTTTATTAAAAATAATACAAGTGACAGGATAAAAGACCATTGTCCCACAGCAGGAGGCCTGACAGACTTTCCTGTGGGGGTAGGGTTTAGTCTACTTGTCTTGGCAGGATGAGATCATCGATTCCCCTAGTGTTACTGTTATCCATTTCAGGCAGGGTCCAGGCAGCTGATGAGGTGAAAGGCAGCTCTTTTTTTTTCTGTGTGGCTGAACTTGCCACATCCCAAAGCAAGCCTCCAGGAGTAAGGTCTTCTGCAACCGTGTATCTTCTTGGAGAAGCTACAGGATGCTGCAGGAGCTTGCATGCCTCTCTATCATAAGAAGCTGTTTTATTAAATGCCACACTCTCAGATCTGTAAAGGCTCTTGAGGATCAGGGTACCTTTACCTGTCGGGTATATCTAAATTAGACATATAAGGTAAATTTGGTGATACAATTT